CTGAGCTATTTGGTGAGCCCAACAATCTTTAACTTAGGTTGAAATACCCACTAATGTGCAAAACAACACCAAGTTGTAGCGCCTCAGCTCCCTCCCCTTATTCTTTCTCATTTGCCGGATTCCATCCCCCCACAGCAACTGCTCTTCCTAATTTCTGTTTACAAACAGAGATGAAAATAAATTATAATTCCCATGTTTCTTTTACACAAAAGTTGTATGTTTTTTCATATTGTGATGAAAGTTGCATTTCTCCCCACCTATTAACATAGCTTGGGATCTTCCACATCGGTGCGTGTCTGTGTTACTTTCAATAGCTATGTAGTATTCCCTCTGGGGATGTGCTGTCACCAGTCCCTCTGATGGCTGTTCGGGTTCTTTCTGGTTATTTGCTGTCACAAACAATGCTATTATGCTGTAGTTTGTACATACATTATTTTGCATTTATCCAGTTGCACCCCTTGGTTAAGTTTCTTGAAGTGGAAGTACAGATCACTGTATTGGCAGCTGTTTTGGATACTGATTTCCTTCGAAGGAGGAGGAAGACAGAGGAGCCAGATAGGCCGGAGTTAAGTGGCTTCTCTGTGCCTTTTAGCTGTTTGATCCTGGACTGGATACTTACTGTCTCTGAGTTCCATTTTGTTATTGTTGTCATTTTGTTGTTGTTGTTGTTGTTTTTTAGCTCTGAATTAGAACCTAGGGCCTTCACACTGAGCTTACTGCCCCCTTTAATTTCAAGAATGAGAGGCTGGGGAGATGGCTCAGTAGAATAAGTGCTTGTCTGGCAAGCGCAAGGGTATGAGTTCAATTCCTGGTTCCGAAAAAAAAGAATGAGTCTTACTGTTACCAGGCTAGACTTGAACTTGTGATCCTCTTGCCTCAGCCTCCCAGAATGGTTGGATGTCACCTGTGTGCCACTGTGCCTAGCTACCGCTCCGGTTTTAAAAGTCTATAAAGTGATAGATCGCTTTCCTGGCATGCCCAAGACTTTGGGTTTGATCTCCAGCACCACAAAATAAAAATAAAAAGCCAATAAAATGTGTCCCTGCAGAGCTGTGAGGCTCCAGTGGGATCAACTGTGGGAAACATTTAGTTCAAGGTCAGACACATACGGAAGCAACACAGCCTTCCAAGGGCAGGCAGCCTGGGCTTTGCTCGGTGCCACGGGGTCCTTCTGTGCGGCTGAGCCTGGCCACCGGGCTGGTGCTCCTCGTCAGAAGCTTTCCCTCGCCACGCCCACCTGCTGTGTGCTGAGGTGCCTTATAGACTCTGCTGATGGAACCCTGGGGTTCGCCAGGGTCTTTCTTGGATGACCGCTGGGTGGACCGTGATGGAGCCTTCCTGGAGGAAGGCACTTGGTCTGCCTGGCATTTCCAGAGCCCACAAACAAGCATGCTGTTTGCCACTGGACTCGTACAATGCTGAGTAATCTTTTTTTTTTTTTTTTTTTT